GTAGTTGGGGAATTGAGGGGGTGGGAAGTTGAAATTGGGGAAGCCAAAGTTAGACATGGTGGAGGGAGGAGGAGGATTTGATAGTTCAATGAATATATTGAGAGTGATGAGAAGCGGACTGTGCAGGAGGTATTTGTACTGATGAGTTGTGTGTTCATTTGAGATTTGTTTTAAAGAAGCTATGTGATGACTTGGCTCCTAATCTAAGGTTTGGGGTTGACAGTGGCTTCTAAACAATGAGTCGCTTAGACTTGAGACTAGGGTTCATTTTTATTATATTTTAACAATGTTCTTGGTTGTGTCATTGAGAGTCTCTATCTACTTGATGATTATTGCTGAATTAGAAAGAATGCATAGAATTTAAAGAATGTACATGTGATAGTTATATGTCAAAGTATCATAGCCGTTTTTATCGTTAGAGAACACTTTCACTAACCAAGTAAACGTTATATACCAAGGAATACATAGTCTTAAAGTCCGTAATGTTAGGACGCAGTCCGTAATGTTAGGACGCAGTCCGTACAATAGCTCTTGTTTGAGTAATAACAAACTCTCACTTGATTTTAATATCTATTTAAGATGATATTGTACGGGTGAATACAACTATAAGACGTGTACGAGGCGGAACGACACGAAAATCAGCACAAATGCTGATTTAGTCTTTGTACCATCGATGATCATTAAAGACCCATCGATGGTTATGAGGTCATCAATGGTCACAAATTGCAGAATTCAAGAGACAGAATTTCACCTCATGGATGGATTACATGAACCTATCAATAGTCGTGAGAAATCATCGAGCGTAAAGTCAGGTGATTGAAGATCTGAGGATTTAATCACAGCCATTCGTCATTCCTTTTAATCTCCAACTTCTTCCTCATTTAGGATATCTCTTTTCTAGTTGATTAAATGCTATATATGATTGAAAAAGATAAATAGATGAGAGATTTCTAGGGGTTTTTATATGAGATTAACGATTTTGATTAGAGAAGAGATTGGAGATTTTGACCCTCGGAGCCTTAACAAACTCTTTTTTCATCATGCTCAACATCTTTGGGTGATCTCAGGGAGGAGAGTCACCATTAATTTCACCATCTACATTATTCTTCATCAAGCTTCACTATTGATCAATTGAAGGATGGTTTGTCAACCGAAAAGGGCTGTAAGATCTTTCTTGTTAGACCCTAGAGGGGGGGTGATTAGGGTCTTATGCTAATCTAATCCGATTAAATGCCAATTAAAATTAATTAATACGATATCCTAGCAAGTATGAAATGCAATAATATATATGAGCTAGGATAAGCAATATACAATATGATATATCCTAGCAAATAGATGTATAGCAAAATATATATATGCAAGGATATATAAACTAACACAAGGGTAAACAATATAAACTAGATAGTGGATCATAAAAAGGATGAGTAATGCACAATTGGCGATATAAGATAAATGCAAAAATAACTACGCCAAAGACAAACTCAAACAAGCAATATGATCACGGAGTTCGGACCTTCCGTCCTACGTCTCCGCTCCCCACTCCCGGGGAGAAATCCACTAACACAATCCGGTTTGAAAGCCGGAACTTCTTCTACACACTCGGTTTTCTAGCTAACCGAAAACTCTACAACTCACACTCTTGCAATCACACTCTACACCCACTAAGTGTTGGACCTAGCCGTGTCTCCCTCAAGTGCTCGGTTACAACCTCTCCCTAGGCACGTCAACCGACGCCACTCCTCTTGGGACGATCCCCGACTCTCACCACACACTCCTCACTCGGTGTACAAGAGTATTACAAAGTGATTTAACAATTAAGCACTCAATATATCAAGAGTGGAGGGAGAAGAGTTGGATGCCCAAACACCAATAGATGATCTCCTCAAGCTCTTGTTGAATTGAATCACAAAACCGAAACACTCAATTGCTTAAAAGCTTCTTAAAACAAACTTAAACAAACACTAAACAAGTTTAAACCCTTGTTAAACTATTTTAAAACAATCTCTTGTTCTATACTGAAAAGACATCAGCAATGGGGTATATATACCCACTAGAAATCTCAGCAAAAACCCCCAAAACAAATGACAAACCAGCCCCCAGAGAAACAGCTCAGAAATAGCCGTTAGTAGCCAACGGCTATATTGTCGGTCGACCGAAAATTCCGTCGGTCGACCGATGATAAAAGCCATCGTCGGTCGACCGGAAATTCTGTCGGTCGACCGATTTGAGCTCTCGGTCGACCGGACCGGTCGACCGATGACTCTCTGGAAAAATACTGACGAATGGTCAATTGACCGGTCGACCGTACCGGTCGACCGAAAACTGACATTCCAGAAAAAAATCGGTTTTAGAGCTGATTTTAAAACACTGTTTAAAAATATCAAATGAATTCAAAAAAATGTAAAACTTTGGGGAATGATTGTAGACATGATAATAAACATGCTACAATAACTGGTTTCGAAAAAGGACTTCCCAAATGAAAAATATCATCATTTTACAAAATAGTCCAAAACATGAAAACCTGAAAATTGATATTTTGATATTTTGACTTAAACAACATTTTGAAACCTTATGAAATGATTGTATAGACTTGATAAAAGATATAACATGTTGTTATGAAGTCTATAACCTAGAAATACAATATTTTCATAAAATTGCATATTCTATGCAATATATTCAAAACACTAAATATGATTTCATTAAATATAAGCTCGTTAAAGATGAAATCATATATATATACATATAAGCATGAAACAAAATAGTATTTTCTAATTCTATGCATTTTTTCATATATAAGCCCGAAAACTATAAAACCAAAAACATATGTATATATATATATATATCACTATATATATATATGAAAACCAACATAATGTGTGTGTATAGATATTAAGCTTAACGTACTTAACACACATAATATAAATTCCTAAACTAAATTACCCAAGCAATCTTGATCTTCAACGAAGCTCTATCTTGGTAATCTTGCGGATGAAGCTTGAACTTGGATCTTGACTTGAATGTGCATTGCTTCACTCCACTATTCCGCCAACCTCCTCTTGATATGAACGTGTAGGCTCAATCCATCCAACCTCCAACATATTGTTTGCCTAGAATAAATATAAAACACAAATACTAGACAAACAATATTAGATGTAAATTGTTTGTAAATCATCATCAAAACAAGAAGGCCAACATTTCTTATTTTCTATGCTTAAATTGCTTTTGTTGGTTTGTTTCAAAATTGTTTTACGACATACTCAAGCCGATGTTAATTAAGGATTGAGACTAGCTAGAGCTAGGTATTACTTAGGTACATTCTAGGGTATGGTATTTTGTAAGCCTATTGAATTAGGTTATGATTCAGAAGAACTCTTGGCATAAAGAGGAAGCCCGTTCATGAGATGGAAGATGAATGGAACCACTATAAAATCTTGCGTATCCTTAGTTATTTTTCACTTTATTTTATCTATTCTGCTACATATTTTATGTTTTTAGTGAAAAATCGTAGCAACCCTATTCACGCCTCTCAAGCCGTGCATCTCAGATCCAACAAGAGGTATCAAAGTCTCATTACTAATCTTTAAGATTCACAACCTAGGGTAGAGGTATCTAGTTTGAACGCTGCAATGAGTTTTCCAGAGGGACACGCTGCGAACGAACACCTTTATAGGACAATTATCCCTATTGAAAAGCGCATGCGAGAGTCTTTTTTTATCCACCAATTATAATGTTTGGAGCAGTATAGAGAATGATTATAGTAAACCCACTACCGTTATAGAAGAGGTTATTGTTATCACTCCTAGAGATAAGTGAACTGTTAGGACAAAAAGATTTATTCATTGAATACAAAAGATATGAATGCTCTTTATTTTCAATTAACTACTTAAGAATTCAATCATGTGTCAAATTGTTCTACTGGGCAAGAAATTTGAAAAACTTTAGAAGTTACACACAGTGAAACTTTACAGGTTTACAATATTTGTATATAAGTATGACAATTTCATGATGAAGTCCTCGGAGAGTATTTAGAACATGTTCACCTGATTCATGAATATTTTGAATAAATCAAAAGCTTTGGGAAAAGAGTATGATAACAAGGAGCTTGTAAGAAAAATTCTTTGTTCTCTTTCTAGAGATTTAGAACCAAATGTAATAGTCTTCTCACTTATGAAGTGAGACTATAAGAGAGAGTAGATAATTTAAAAGATTACTTGAAGAAGTTGTTGTTGGCCCTAAAGGTGAAAAAGGAATAATCATGATTCACAAAGAAGAAAGAGCCAAGCTCAAGTTCTAAATATGAAAATAGTTAAGTTGGATTCATTGTAAAAGGATTCAAGTATTTTCTCAAAGCAAAGAATAGGTAGAAATACCAGCGAAATAGATGAAATCAATATACAAATAAGGTAAATAAGTATTCATCTAGTTAATCTTAAACTAAACCTATTTGTTATCATTGTAGGAAACCAAACCACTACAAAAATAAATGTCCATTTAATAAGAAAGACAAGAATATAGAGGGTAAAAGTTTGAAGATGGCAACCTAAGATATGATAAGTGACGAAGAATCAGAAGTTGGTTTCAGTGAAAATGACAAGAAGGTAAATATATGTCTTATGGGGGAGAAACAAGAAAGCTACAGATTCAGAACAAGGTGAAACATATAATTCTGAAAGTGAGAATTTAGAGAATGAGGTATATCCTTCATATTATGAGCATAAAGAGATTTTGAGGCAATTTGAGAAATTTATTAGGAAATATGAAGTGACAAAAAGAGTAAATAAAAATTTGAGGCAAAAAAAGAAAATCTTTTGTGAGAAAATTGAGTCTTTTTCCACAAATTTGGATTCACAAAATTCACCTTGTGACATAAACCATAAATGATTGCACACAATGCTCTATTTTTCAAAATCAAAATTTATGTTTATCTAAGAAACTAGATGATAAATTATTAAAAATGAAAAGTTGGTTGCTAAGATAAAAG